TGAACTGTTATAAAGATATGTTCTCTTGTTAATGATGAAATTCTTTTGGAATTGTTCTGAGTCCAGTTTAAATCATTTAATTGTTGATTGATGACATTTTTTTATTTTGTGTCTGCTGTCTTTTATCTCTCTCTACTTTATCTTCTATCATCTGTCCAGACTCTGTCAGGCTGGTGAATGGGTCTAGTCTGTGCTCAGGCAGACTGGAGGTGAAGTCTGACCAGTCTAACCAGTGGTGGTCCTCAGTGTGTGAAGATGACTTTGACCAGCAGGATGCAGAGGTGGTCTGTAGGGAGCTCGGCTGTGGGGCTCCTTCGGTCCTCAAGGGGGCGCTCTATGGAGAAGTGGAGGCTCCAATGTGGAGCAAAGAGTTCCAGTGTGGAGGCCATGAGTCTGCTCTCCTGGACTGTAGAAGCTCAGGCTCAGCTAGAAACACCTGCTCACCTGGAAAAGCTGTTGGACTCACCTGCTCAGGTAGAAGAGGAGCTGCAGCTCTGATTGGTTCATATTTGTTCTGATGTAACTCACTTTATTCTTTAACTGATGACTCTCTTGTTTCTGTTCAGAGTCTGTCAGGTTGGTGGAAAGAGACGGTCGCTGTGCAGGAACACTGGAGCTAAAACATCAGGGAGAATGGAGACCAGTGGAGCGGCGAGGCTGGACCCTGAAGGAAGCAACTGTTGCCTGCAGAGAACTGGACTGTGGTTCTGCTGTTTCTGTAGGAGAGAGAAAGTCCTCAGACAGATCTGTGTGGAGGGTCAGGCTTGACTGTGTTCACTCTGGATCTGCTCTGAGGGAGTGTGTGACACCAGAGTCCTTTCGTTACATCCTGGATCTCAACTGTTCAGGTAATCCCATCAGTGACATCATCAGTGACATAATTTATGACAGTAATGTAACACAAACACACTCACACACACACACACACACACACACACACACACACACACACCTGTAGAGATGCCAGTTTACCTCCTGGGCTCTGCTGAGGTCTCTTGAGCAAGGCACTGAAGCCCTAACTGCTTGGAGCAGCGACTGTGTGGCTGCCTCATCACTCTGAAATCTGTCCACTAATGCATGTGTCCAGGTCCTGTGTGTGCATCAGTGGCTGCTGACTCAAACATTGTGGAGGACAGGAGGAAAACCAACCCACAGCTTCATGTTATTTTACACTAGTTGGCTAATGATCTTTACTTTCTTCTGTTCAATATCAATGAAACAGTAAATCAATGGCTTCCAAGAGTTCTTAAAAACAACATCATTGTATTCACTGCTGTTGTTTCCAGATGAACCCTACAGGCCTAATGCAGAAGATAGAGTATTTATCAAGGCTGTGAGATGTAACAAGAAGCAGGCCAGTGTTCAACACCTGTGAATGTGTGCTGACTGATGATGACTACTTGCTGCTTGAATCAAAGCTGGCCCCATTTCCAATCAGACGAACAAAGCTTACTGTACTTTAATTCCAATATTTTATTCCCAACGATGCGTTATCGCAAGTCCAGGTTCACCTGGGCATTTTAAAGTAGTGTGTGCTTTCTATTCAGAGACAGCTGACAGTTATCCTCATCAAAGTAGTTTAAACACAGCAGCTCTATTTCTCTGCTACAAAGGAAATATGACAGTAATGATCCCAGCACCATTGGTAAATACCCACACTGAAACAGAAGCTGCACTTTCCTTCAGACACTAGATGTGTCCTGCAGGTGTCGCTGTTGAAGCATTTCAATCAGAATTTCAATAATGGATTTTCTCCAAAGCAGAAACTGATTTTATAAATGATCCTGAGATTTGGTCTTTGTTCATTTCAACCAGTTACTCTTTTTATAGTTTGTTCTCCCTCTTGCCTCTCAGAAACAGAGGAGGAGCAACCTCCCCTACCTCTATGGACCAGCATCCTCTGCTCTGCATGGGTGTCTGCTTCAGGCCGATGTTTGTAATGTTAAAATAACAAGAGTGTAAAAAATGAATTTCCCAAACAGATTAATAAACTTCTTCTCCTTCTTCTTTTTCTTCTATCCCTTTTATATTAGCTGGATCATTTCCTAAACACATTGTTATTCTGGGTTACAGATCTTCTCAGTAAACTCAGAAAGAAGTCAAACTTTTGAACCTGTTTGTGTGGAGAGCAAAGATTGTGGAGAACCTGAGCAGAAGGACCAGAATAGAGCAATATGCAGATGATGTTGTTGTGTTATTGTCTGAAACATGTTGAAAGTGTTGACAAATGGATAGCAAGTGTTCAGTGTATTCAGAGTAAATTTGATGGGAACATTACTGCAGTCTGAACTGTTATAAAGATATGTTCTCTTGTTAATGATGAAATTCTTTTGGAATTGTTCTGGGTCCAGTTTAAATCACTTAATTGTTGATTGATGACATTTTTTTATTTTGTGTCTGCTGTCTTTTATCTCTCTCTATTTTATCTTCTATCATCTGTCCAGACTCTGTCAGGCTGGTGAATGGGTCTAGTCTGTGCTCAGGCAGACTGGAGGTGAAGTCTGACCAGTCTAACCAGTTGTGGTCCTCAGTGTGTGAAGATGACTTTGACCAGCAGGATGCAGAGGTGGTCTGTAGGGAGCTCGGCTGTGGGGCTCCCTCAGTCCTCCAGGGGGCGCTCTATGGAGAAGTGGAGGCTCCAATGTGGAGCAAAGAGTTCCAGTGTGGAGGCCATGAGTCTGCTCTCCTGGACTGTAGAAGCTCAGGCTCAGCTAGAAACACCTGCTCACCTGGAAAAGCTGTTGGACTCACCTGCTCAGGTAGAAGAGGAGCTGCAGCTCTGATTGGTTCATTTCTGTTCTGATGAAACTCACTTTATTCTTTTACCGATGACTCTCTTGTTTCTGTTCAGAGCCTGAGTCTGTCAGGTTGGTGGGAGGAGACAGTCGCTGTGCAGGAACACTGGAGGTGAAACAGGGAGAATGGAGACCAGTGATTGGCCCTTACAGGACCCTGAAGGAAGCAACTGTTGCCTGCAGAGAACTGGACTGTGGTTCTGCTGTTTCTGTAGGAGAGAGAAAGTCCTCAGACAGATCTGTGTGGTGGATCAGGTCTGACTGTGTTCACTCTGGATCTGCTCTGAGGGAGTGTGTGATACCAGAGTTCTCTTCCTATACCCTGGATCTCACCTGTTCAGGTAATCAGTGACATCATCAGTGACCTAATTTATGTCAGTAATGTACCAATGTTGACACACACACACACACACACACACACACACACACACACACACACACACACACACACACCTGTAGAGATGCCAGTTTACCTCCTGGGCTCTGCCGAGGTCTCTTGAGCAAGGCACTGAAGCCCTAACTGCTTGGAGCAGCGACTGTGTGGCAGCCTCATCACTCTGACGTCTGTCCACTAATGCATGTGTCCAGGTCCTGTGTGTGCATCAGTGGCTGCTGACTCAAACATTGTGGAGGACAGGAGGAAAACCAACCCACAGCTTCATGTTATTTTACACTAGTTGGCTAATGATCTTTACTTTCTTCTGTTCAATATCAATGAAACAGTAAATCAATGGCTTCCAAGAGTTCTTAAAAACAACATCATTGTATTCACTGCTGTTGTTTCCAGATGAACCCTACAGGCCTAATGCAGAAGATAGAGTTTTTATCAAGGCTGTGAGATGTAACAAGAAGCAGGCCAGTGTTCAACACCTGTGAAGGAAAGTGTGCTGACTGATGATGACTACTTGCTGCTTGAATCAAAGCTGGCCCCATTTCCAATCAGACGAACAAAGCTTACTGTACTTTAATTCCAATATTTTATTCCCAACGATGCGTTATCACAAGTCCAGGTTCACCAGGGCATTTTAAAGTAGTGTGTGCTTTGTATTCAGAGACAGCTGACAGTTATCCTCAACAAAGTAGTTTAAACACAGCAGCTCTATTTCTCTGCTACAAAGGCAATATGACAGTAATGATCCCAGCACCATTGGTAAATACCCACACTGAAACAGAAGCTGCACTTTCCTTCAGACACTAGATGTGTCCTGCAGGTGTCGCTGTTGGAGCATTTCAATCAGAATTTCAACAATGGATTTTCTCCAAAGCAGAAACTGATTTTATAAATGATCCTGAGATTTGGTCTTTGTTCATTTCAACCAGTTACTCTTTTTATAGTTTGATCTCCCTCTTGCTTCTCAGAAACAGAGGAGGAGCAACCTCCCCTACCTCTATGGACCAGCATCCTCTGCTCTGCATGGGTGTCTGCTTCAGGCCGATGTTTGTAATGTTAAAATAACAAGAGTGTAAAAAATTAATTTCCCAAACAGATTAATAAACTTCTTCTCCTTCTTCTTTTTCTTCTATCCCTTTTATATTAGCTGGATCATTTCCTAAACACATTGTTATTCTGGGTTACAGATCTTCTCAGTAAACTCAGAAAGAAGTCAAACTTTTGAACCTGTTTGTGTGGAGAGCAAAGATTGTGGAGAACCTGAGCAGAAGGACCAGATGATGTTGTGTTATTGTCTGAAGCATGTTGAAAGTGTTGACAAATGGATAGCAAGTGTTCAGTGTATTCAGAGTAAATTTGATGGGAACATTACTGCAGTCTGAACTGTTATAAAGATGTGTTCTGTTGTTAATGATGAAATTCTTTTGGAATTGTTCTGAGTCCAGTTTGAATCACTGAATTGTTGTTTGATGACACCTTTTTATTTTGTGTCTGCTGTCTTTTATCTCTCTCTATTTTATCTTCTATCATCTGTCCAGACTCTGTCAGGCTGGTGAATGGGTCTAGTCTGTGCTCAGGCAGACTGGAGGTGAAGTCTGACCAGTCTAACCAGTGGTGGTCCTCAGTGTGTGAAGATGACTTTGACCAGCAGGATGCAGAGGTGGTCTGTAGGGAGCTCGGCTGTGGGGCTCCTTCGGTCCTCAAGGGGGCGCTCTATGGAGAAGTGGAGGCTCCAATGTGGACCAAAGAGTTCCAGTGTGGAGGCCATGAGTCTGCTCTCCTGGACTGTAGAAGCTCAGGCTCAGCTAGAAACACCTGCTCACCTGGAAAAGCTGTTGGACTCACCTGCTCAGGTAGAAGAGGAGCTGCAGCTCTGATTGGTTCATTTCTGTTCTGATGAAACTCACTTTATTCTTTTACTGATGACTCTCTTGTTTCTGTTCAGAGTCTGTCAGGTTGGTGGGAGGAGACAGTCGCTGTGCAGGAACACTGGAGCTGAAACAGGGAGACTGGAGACCAGTGGAGGGCCGAGGCTGGACTCTGAAGGAAGCAACTGTTGCCTGCAGAGAACTGGACTGTGGTTCTGCTGTTTCTGTAGGAGAGAGAGAGGAGTCCTCATACAGACCTGTTTTGGGGATTGAACCTGATTGTGTTCACTCTGGATCTGCTTTGAGGGAGTGTGTAAGACCATGGTCCTCTTCCACCATCCTGAATGTCACCTGTTCAGGTAATCAGTGACATCATCAGTGACCTAATTTATGACAGTAATGTACCAATGTTGACACACACACACACACACACACACACACACACACACACACACACACCTGTAGAGATGCCAGTTTACCTCCTGGGCTCTGCTGAGGTCTCTTGAGCAAGGCACTGAAGCCCTAACTGCTTGGAGCAGCGACTGTGTGGCAGCCTCATCACTCTGACATCTGTCCACTAATGCATGTGTCCAGGTCCTGTGTGTGCATCAGTGGCTGCTGACTCAAACATTGTGGAGGACAGGAGGAAAACCAACCCACAGCTTCATGTTATTTTACATTAGTTGGCTAATGATCTTTACTTTCTTCTGTTCAATATCAATGAAACAGTAAATCAATGGCTTCCAAGAGTTCTTAAAAACAACATCATTGTATTCACTGCTGTTGTTTCCAGATGAACCCTACAGGCCTAATGCAGAAGATAGAGTATTTATCAAGGCTGTGAGATGTAACAAGAAGCAGCCAGTGTTCAACACCTGTGAAGGAAAGTGTGCTGACTGATGATGACTACTTGCTGCTTGAATCAAAGCTGGCCCCATTTCCAATCAGACAAACAAAGCTTACTGTACTTTAATTCCAATATTTTATTCCCAACGATGCGTTATCACAAGTCCAGGTTCACCAGGGCATTTTAAAGTAGTGTGTGCTTTCTATTCAGAGACAGCTGACAGTTATCCTCAACAAAGTAGTTTAAACACAGCAGCTCTATTTCTCTGCTACAAAGGAAATATGACAGTAATGATCCCAGCACCATTGGTAAATACCCACCGTCTGCTGTCTCTCACTGTCTAAGGTAAGCTGAAGCAGAGAAACTGTCTCACTGACTGTTTACATGCAGCTTTGGAAAAGATGATCAGCTGACAACAGGAGCCACGCAAGTTGTTTTCTGAGTGACACTGATTGAGCCATATTTCAAAGTAAAACTTTTGATAGCCCATTAGCTACCGTTAGACGACGGCTAACGTTCCTAGATAACATTACAGAACACGATGATAACACAAAGAGGAATATGAAATATTGTTCCAGTGAGCATAATGTCACATAAGTGTTAACATACGTAAACGTTAACATTAACTTTACTGAGTCAACCAGAACATTTCTGACGCTGGGTGAAGAGAGACAGTTAACGTTACATTGCAACCTTGATTACGTCCAGTGTATTTTATGGGTTAGCTAATATGTTTTCCTTAAAATATGACCCGATGTGCGTCCAGATTTGAACTATCCATTGTGTTTTCAGTTGCTGATCAATTAGTAAAGAAATAATGAAATGATAACGATTTGTCAGATTCCCTACGTTTATCCGACTTCCAACCTGGAACACAGCAGGACGACATTTGAACCACCCTGTGTGAGACGTCAGAGGAAAGTGGCCGCTGTGTGAATATGGTGAGTTAGAAACACCTTCTGACGCATCCGTTCTCAAAAGTTCCACTGCCACCACATCTGCCCTATCAGCCCCTAGCCCCAAACTCCCCATTTTATAGTGTAGTTCCTCACAGTGGCAAGAAAGGTGGTGTGCTCAGATACCTCACTCAGTGCTCAGAGAACCAGGGTTATCCTGGAGACCAAATGTCTCACTATGGGAGGTATGGTCCACTCCCAAAGTGCAGGAGGACCGACACCCCCAACACTGCAGGCAGGATGTGTGTTCAGATAACAGGTAGTTCACAGATTCTGAGAGAAAACACCTTGTGATGTGATGACTGTCCATGTGTTTGATCAGATCCATTACTTCATCATCACTTCATCAGAGTGGTCGTCCTGCTGCTGACTCTGCTGGTGGTGACCACCGCCCTCTATTTCTACTGTAAGGTACTGCCACTGTCTGTTGTTTAGAGGACTGACTGAAATGAAGCACTCAGTCTGTGTTTATTAAACTGAACTGAGGACTCATACTGTCCTGTCTCTCCAGGCCAGCAGGGGCCAGAAGCCGGGCAGACAGGAGAACATTGAGCTGGATGATTATAACCTGGGTGTTCCTGCAGCTGGAGGAGGTCCGACTGAAGAGGAAGGTGCTCAGGGAGCAGAGTAGGACCTCCAAGGAGATCCTCTCACATCCACATGGATTCACAGCTGACACACAACCATCAGCTAAGTCCAGGATTTTACATTTTTGTCCTCATGTTGGCTGAAATTATTGTATGACTTTATATTTTTATTACTCTGAGCATGAAAAGACCAAAAACATTATTTCAATAATTCTGTAATTTGCTTATTTGTTTACAATTGAGGATTTTGCTTCTTTCATCCAAATTTTACATCCTTTTGTAAATAATGATTTTGGTTATTTTGTATGAATTTTATTTTTACATTCTGTGATTAAGGCTCGGGTAGGTAACATTAGAAAAACCTGTAATAGACGGCTACATTTTTAAAATATCCAAGTGAAACAATGGGCTCATTACAGGCCTGCAACAGCCACAGATACCAGATTGTTTTTCTTTATTCAGAGCATTTGAGTTACTGACTGCTGTCAGGATGTAAAGAGAATTTAACCAATATAACAAAAGATTCTTCTGAAATACATTAATCTTTAAGGATTTTGTTTATTTTTACAATTAAGGATTTTGCTTGTTTGTATGAATTTGACTTATTTTTGTGATTATGGATTTTGTTTACAATTAAGGCTTTTGCTTCTTTTATATAAACTTCGCTTAATTTTGTTTTTACAGATTTTGGTTATTTTGTATGAATTTTACTTAATTGTTTTGATTTAGCTTGTTTGGTGCAAATCTAGCTTAAAGGTCCAGTGTGTAACATTACAGAGGATCTGTTATCAGAAATTTAATATATTATTATAATGTTATTATATAATATTCACAGGTACGTTTTTATTGGTTTATAATCAGATGAAAATAAGAACCATTGTGTTTTGGTTACCTTAGAATGAGACATTTCTTTCTATGGATTTTGCTTATTTTGTATGAATTTTGCTTATTTTGTACGGAGCCCGTTAGGGGACTAATGGAGGAAAAAGGTTGTTGTTTAAAAAATTAGAGAAATACTAATATAGTAATAATATAATATTGTACTTCAGTATAGGTTTCACAAACAAGGAGATACTTAATCTTTTGGCACATCAGCATCACATTGTCATAAGTATCAGGACCTTAAAAAGAATATGCAAGAAAATACATCTTTTCCGCAGAAAGAACCAGTCTCATAAATTTAGGACTTTTTCTTTCTTCCTCAGTGTGGCCCTAATACTCCGTCATATAAAATACACATCCCATATAAATATAAATACACATCAAAGTGTAACATTATGTTCCTTTATTGAATAAGGATAAAGAAAAACAGGTAAACCATCAGCTCCTTTCCAAACTGAAGTCACACAGTGACTCTACAAGATGGAAAGCACAGAATCAAAGCATATTATACAACACAAGGATAAATACACATTCAAAGGTCTGTATATAATACACCCCGTATGTCTGCACACTGAAATAAATGCAGGACAAATCCATACACATCAAATGAACAGACAAATTAATGGATGCAGTAGACTCTCTGCAAGCCTGTATACACGCAGTATGCAGCACAAACATCATAAGAGGCCAAATCAATTTAAATTACAAAAAAAAATTAAAAAAATAAAAACACAAATTCTTCTGCCACCGCAGGACATATTTAACTTAAATTCACAGCATGTGTCTCTACCACTGCAGGACATATTTAACTTAAATTTAAAGCATGCATATTAACTAAAATAATTTAACACATATTGGTCCCTCACTAGTCGACCACTGTCGTCATCAGGGAAGATTACAGGATTGTCCCGGTCCATGGCTGGTGGCACTCTGGGGGCCCTCTCCTTCCTCAGGCAGGCCACTTTGTGGAGGATAGCACAAGCCACAGTAATGTCACATGCCTTCAAAGGGCTGACCCTTAATTTGTGAAGACACTGAAAGCGTGCCTTCAGGAGGAACAAAGGTCATTTCAACTCTGGCCCTGGTCCTGGCATGGGCATGGTTGTAGGCCTGCTGTGCTTCCTGGGGGTCTGTGAATGGTGTCAGGAGAAAAGGCTGGCAGGCCCCTGTCTCCCAGCAACACACCAGAGAATTCACCTGTCAACACAAAATCTCATCATTACAACCTCATAAACAGAGTGACATTCTTGACACAGCCATGATGTAAAAAGTGGTTATTAATAGGGGTTGCATGGCTCACCTTGTGATAGGCGCTGATAGATTTCAGAGGTCCGAAAGACTGGAGTCATGGACTGAGCCAGACCATTTTGCCACAACATTGCTGATCAGACAGTCAGCATTGCAGACCGTCTGAAATCATAAGATGAGGACTATTAAACCAATCAGTGCACATCACAAGCAATGTACAGTGTTCATCAATTGACAATATCAAAAAGTTATGTTCACCTGAACATTAATGCTGTGAAAGGATTTCCTATTCACAAAATCCGCCTCATGGGCAGCTGAGGGGGATTTTATCCTGATGTGTGTGCAGTCCAGTGCACCAATGACATTGGGGAAACCTGTAACACAAAGTAATGAGTATCCTACTATGACTGTTAACAGTTGTCCTGTGATTTGTAGATTCTCTTACCTGCAATCCTATAGAACTCCTCTTTGATTTCACAGAGTCTTCTGTGGCCAGGGAAGGAGATGAAGACATCTGACAATGCTTTGATAGCCAGACACACACTCCTTATTGTGCGGCAAACTGTGGCCTTGTTCAGCTGTTCTGCATCCCCCACTGAGTACAGGAAGCCTCCACTTGCAAAACCGCGCAAGGCCACACAAACAATTTGCTCCACACTCAGTGCATGGAGCCAGCAGTCTGCACAGATACCTGATGCCATCTGCAGAAAACCTGTACCTTTCATATAGATGGTCATCAGGGAAGGCCAGTGGGTCCAAACGGTCCCTGAAGACCCTCTCTCGCCTTAAGGCTCTCCTGAGCAAAAGTGCTTCCTCATCCACCACATCTCGCAACAATGGGCACGCCATTGTCAGAGCAGAAAGGAACACACCATTTTGGGCCTTCATATAGGCTATTGGCTGACTTGACTTTACGAGGATTGACCTTTTATTTTTTTATTTAAGATGTGTCATCTTCTTGGAGCTGGGGGAGGAAAGGAGAATAATGATTAATACATTTGTGTTACAGTCAGCATACAGTGTGCATTGAAGGCATAACTCACCTCCCACTCAAGTTTTTTTATTTCAAGTCCATTATATATAAATTAAAGTTATTATATTATTATTATTATTATTATTAGGTCATCTTTTTATCAAAGAGTTATACAGTCTGATGGAGTTACATTTTCGCAGTTTCACTCATATCTGCAGTCCATTTCAATTAAAAATTAAACTGATTCATAATCAGAGTACAACTGCGTTTTTGGAGATGTGAATTAACTATTTGGATTGTAATTGTGATGTTTCAGCGGAGCGGTGAGTGTGTAATTGTGCACTACTTACACATTCAGGCGGTCAGCAATACTTTGCCACGCTTTTTCTCTTTGCTTTATCACTGTGGCGGTGTTGCCTCTCTTTTTAATCATGTCTTTTACCTCCTCCTATGCCTCCATGAGGATTTCTGCCTCAGGCGGGGAAAAGTAAGCCGCTCTACATGCCATGGTAAATCAGTGAATCTGTGATCGGCGGCGGGGTCTATTTGAGGGAGCCGTGAGCACGCTCTTATCCAGGATTGGTTTCACCTGGCTTGATGAATCCGTGTCTGCTCATCCTGGCTTTGTCTTTGTGCAACCAATTAAGCCTGGACACTCTTGTTTTGGATTCATTGAGCTCAGCTCAGTCACTTATCCTGGATGTCTTAATCCTACTTTTGTGCAACGGGCCCGGGTCATTTGTTTGTGTGTGTGGTTGTTTGGGAAAGGGCAAACTGAAGCTATGGAGAGGTTCAAACATAAAGGCATCAGTGCTCAGAATGAAATCAACTCGGTCCATCAAGCTAAATCACCACAATCTATAATTTTGTAATGAAGGATTATTATGTTATATAATAAAGGTTTTGGGTATTTCATACAGACTTTATTTAACCCCTCGTGACTAATGACTAAATACAGAAATTACTGCATCTCAGCAGCTATACGGAGTTATATCATATACTTGGTACCATTGGATTCAACTGCAATATCTATAATTTGTGTTTTGATCCAGTGCAAGTCTGATATTTAACAAGTCAAATTAATATTAAACTGATTTTTCTTTTAATAGAAAATGAACTTTGTCTACCTATTAGAAATGATTAATATGTGAATTCAAACATTTAGATTTTGTGGTGTGTAGCCACAGGTCTGATGACGACATGACTGAAGTATTTCCTACTCATTTTAATACAGATATTAATGTCACTGAGTCATGTAGATGGTAGGATTATTAGTATTACTGCTGTGTATGTATATATTTGTTTTTGTTCTTTTTATTTCACACTTGCCTTGGTAATGTAAACTTCGGTTTCCCATTCAAATAAAACGCTTTTGAATTGAACTGAATTATTATTCATGTGTGAGTGTCCACAGGCATCTAAAGTGGTTGGACTTTTATGATGCTTTGACCAAAACATGTGAGCTGAAATATTCAGAAACTGTATAGTATCTGTACAGATAGTTTATCCTCTAGTTATGAGATCTTTTCTTTTTGTTATAAGATGTGAAAGTAATTTATAGTTAGAGCTGCACAATGTGCAAGTTTATACGGTCCAAAAACATAGAGAAGAAAAAAAGAAAAAGCACATGAAATAAAGAGTGAAGAGAAATTGCTTGTAGTGTCAAATTATTGGACTTCACTTAAACTGACCTCTGAAATGTATCTACAGCATTGACCTCCGCCATGTATTGAAAGCAGACCTCTGCCCTGTATCTATAAAACTGACTTCTGTCCTGTATCTACAGCAATAACCTCTGCCCTGCATTTTTACAATTAAGGATTTTGCTTCTTTTATACAAATATTAGAGGTTATAGATTTAAAAATCTATATCTGATGACAGACAGCAGCACTTTACAGCCACCATAATGTCTTACAGTCGTATTTATACTGGAGGTCTTTATTCAGACTCAGGCAGAAATAGGTTCAATTTGTATATATATTTTTTTTATTGCCAAATTCTTCATGTTTTGATGTTTTTGTTTGCTGTATTTCGTTGTTGTTGTTGTTGTTGTGGGAGGAAACATGAGACTGAGGAGAAAACCCACGCAGACACAAGGACAAAAAAAAAGAAGAGGGAAGGATGGGGGAGAAAGGGGGAAGAGAAAGAGAGGAGGTAAGGAGAGAGGAATGGAGGGAGGTTGGAGAGGTGAAGGGGGGAGGAAGGAGGAACTAGTTTTCCAGCAGCCTCCTCCACCTCACTGTCACTGTTGCTTTTCTTTAGCAGCCAGCGCATGAAACCTTTCTTCTTGTTGTTGTGTTCCTTCTCCTTTTCTTTATTCTATCCTCTTTCTTCTCCAGTCTGCGTCTCTTCCTCTCCAGGGTCTTCTGGCCACTTTTCATCCACTTGTTGTGGGAGACCAAACCTCTCCTGGTGTTGATGCAGAGGTCCTGGAGGTTCTGCTTCTCCTGCTGCACCTGTTGTAAGGTGTCCTCTCTCTCACTCAGGTTCTCCCGCAGAGCTTTGAACCTGGTCTGCCAGGAGTTCTGGCTCTGCAGAAGTTCTTCATCTTTGTGGAGCAGCTGGTTCAGGGCCTCAGTCAGTCTCTGAGACAGACCCTTCTCTTGGTCAGGTTAAGGACATGGTCGTCCCTCAGTTGCAGCTGCTGCTCCACCGGGTCCAACTGGTCCTTCAGTTGCTGCTCCAGTTTCTGGTGGTCCTGCTCCAGTTTCTGGTGGTCCTGCTCCAGTTTCTGGTGGTCCTGCTTCAGTCTGGCAGCAGCCTCCCCCTCCTCCCCCTCCTTACAGACCCCTTGTCTGCCCCTCACCACCTCAATTCACACCCACCTACTCCACCCCTCCCCCCTGCTCTTCATCATGTCCTCCACAACCTGAGGACCTCACCCCTCCCCCAACTGTCACCTCTACAGTGTCCTTCACGCCTGACCTGGTGAGAGGTGCACCTCCAGAGGGTCCCTGTGCTGTGGAAGACGTCCTGCCTAGGTCTTGTGCCAAAGACGCCGCGTCCCAGCGGCCCTCAGGATTACAGACAGGTGACCGTCCATTATCACGTGACATCCCATATCATGAAGACCCTGGAGAGGCTCGTCCTGGAGCAGCTAAGGCCTATGGTCAGGCCCTTCACTGATCCACTACAGTTCGCCTACCAGACCTGCCTGGGAGTTGAGGACGGCATCATCTACCTGCTGAACAGAGTCTACACTCATTTGGACAAGCCGGCGGGCACTGTGAGAGTCATGTTCTTTGACTTCTCCAGTGCTTTCAACACCATCCGTCCGGCTCTACTGGGTGAGAAGATGGCTGCGATGCAGGTGGAGGCCCCCATCGTGTCCTGGATTGTTGATTACCTGACGGGCAGACCACAGTACGTACACCTACAGAGCTGTGTGTCTGACAGGGTGGTCAGCAACACTGGGGCCCCACAGGGGACTGTCCTCTCTCCCTTCCTCTTCACCCTCTTCACCTCAGACTTCAACTATTGCACCGAGTCCTGCCACCTTCAGAAGTTTTCTGATGACTCAGCAATAGTTGGCTGCATTGAAAAGGGTGATGACAGTGAATACAGGACTGTGGTGGGCAACTTTGTCACTTGGAGTGAGGTTAACCATCTGCAGCTCAATGTGACAAAGACAAAGGAGCTCATAGTGGATCTGAGGAGGGCGAAAACACCCGTGACCCCTGTTTCCATCCAGGGGGTCCCTGTGGACACTGTAGAGGAGTATAAGTACCTGGGGGTGTACTTGAATAGACTTAGACTTAGACTTAGACTTCTCTTTATTGATCCTTTTGGGATGATTCCTGCAAGGAAATTGGGTTTCCAGTAGCTTACAAAACACTTGTGTAGAAAATAAAGAGGCATAAACGACCGTGGCAGAGAGGAGGATGCTGTCCAGGCTTCAGTCTATCTTGGACAATGTCTCACACCCTCTCTACGACACACTGGCCCAGCAGAGGAGCACCTTCAGCAGAAGACTCACCACTCACTACAGAGCGCCACAGGAAATCATTCTGGCCTGTGGTCATTAAACTCTACAACGCCTCCCTCAGAGAGTCAGGACACTCTGAGGGAGGCCCCTCCCCCTTTTATATATATATATATATAGTTATATATATATAGTTATTTTTTGTTCTTAATAGATGTTGTTTGCATATCTGGAGTTTGTAACAAAAATAATTTGTAAATAAATAATTAAATAATCCTCTGCTCCTTGTCTACCACCACTATGTCTGGTTGGTTGGCCAGGACCTGTTTGTCAGTCTGGAAGCTGAAGTCCCACAGCACCTTGGCCCTGTTGTTCTCAGCCACCTTCTGTGGTGCGGCCCATTGGGATTTGGGTACTTCTATTCCATACTGGGTACAGATGTTCCTGTACACTATTCCAGCCACTTGGTTGTGTCTCTCCATGTACGCTGAACCGGCTAGCATCTTACACCCTGCTACTATGTGCTGGACTGTCTCAGAGGCATCTTTGCATAGTCTGCACCTTGGGTCAGATCTGCTCTTGTAGATCTTGGCCTCTATGGCTCTTGTACCTAGGGCCTGTTCTTGTGCTGCCATGATCAGTGCCTCTGTGCTGTGTCTGAGTCCAGCCTTTTCCAGCCATTGGTAGGTCTTCTCGATATCAGCCACTTCTTCAATTTGGCGGTGGTACGTGCCATGTAGGGGCTTGTCCCTCCAGGTTGTCTGCTCCTCTTCCTCTGCACTCTTATCGGGTTTCTGTTGCCTGAGACATTCACTTAACAGTTCATCCTTTGTGGCCATTTTTCTGATGTACTCTTGGATTTTTGATGTTTCATCCTGGATAGTGGCCTTGATGCTCAGTAGTCCTCGGCCTCCCTCTTTCCGCTTAGTGTACAGTCTCAGGGTGCTGGATTTGGGGTGAAACCCTCCGTGCATGGTGAGGAGCTTTCTTGTCTTGATATCTGTAGCTTCTATCTCCTCCTTTGGCCAGCTTATGATCCCAGGAGGGTATCTGATGACTGGTAGTGCGTACATGTTGATGGCTTGGATCTTGTTCCTGCCATTCAGCTGACTTTTCAGGACCTGCCTTACTCTCTGGAGGTATTTGGTTGTGGTTGACTTCCTTGCGGCTTCCTCATGGTTTCCATTAGCCTGTGGGATACCAAGGTACTTGTAGCTGTCTTGGATATCACCTATGTTGCCCTCTGGTAGGTCAACCCCTTCAGTTCTGATCATCTTGCCTCTCTTTGAGACCATCCGGCCGCACTTGTCCAATCCGAATGACATCCCTATGTCGTTGCTGTAGATCCTGGTGGTGTGGATCAGCGAGTCAATTTCGGAATTGGTACCCGTAACCACTCTTTGTGATGATCTGACTGAGGGGGTTCAGGCCTATGCAGAACAGCAGTGGTGATATGCTGCATTTGATGTTGACTTGGGCAATTGGCTTTGAGTCGGCTTCTAGGGTTGTCTTCCACATTCCCATCGAGTTCTGGATGAAGGCCCTTAGGTTCCTGTTGATCTTATACAGTTCCAGACATTCCAGTATCCATGTGTGGGGCATTGAGTCGTAAGCTTTCTTGTAGTCGATCCAGGTGGTGCACAGGTTGGTCTTCCTGCTCTTACAGTCTCGGGCGACTGTTCTATCGACCAGTAGCTTCTGCTTGGCTCCTCTGGTGTTGCTACCAATTCCCTTCTGAGCCCCGCTCATGTATTGAGCTACGTGCTTACTCATCTTAGCCGTGATGATACCTGATAGGGCCTTCCATGTTGTGGAAAGGTTATTGACCGGTAGTTGGATGGGATGGGTCCCTTCTTAGGGTCCTTCAGGATTAGGACCGTCCAGCCCTGGGTTAGCCACTCTGGGTGGGACCCATCCCTTAGCAGCTGGTTCATCTGTGCTGCTAGGCATTCATGGAGTGCTGTTAGCTTCTTCAGCCAGTAGGCATGGATCATATCGGGGCCTGGTGCTGTCCAGCTCTTCATCTTTGACACTCTTTCTTGGATGTCTGCCATTGAGATGGTTACTGGTTCTTGTTCTGGGAGGTTGCTGTGGTCTGCTCTTAGGTCCACTATATATATATATATATATATATATATATATATATATATATATATATATATGATTGTGTAATTAACATATTATAGATTTCCAATGGAAAGAAAAGTTTATGTCTAAATTAGAAATAAAAGTTAGAATAATACAAACAAAATTAGATCTCTGAATCTAATCGTTATATTTAATGCTGAATTGTAGTTAGAGAGTGGAGATAATTAGTGGAGCTATTTTCAGTGTTTTTCATTAGTTTTTATAACAGTTTTAAATGATGTATGTCCTTTTTGTTTAATATTATGTAATAAACTATAGAAGCACATTTCTAATAAAAACTATAAGAACGTAATAATAATTGAATGAATTCATGTTAAGTCAACATTATGAGATAAAAGTTGTAAATACAAGATAATTAGTATAGTTATGCTATAAACTGTTATTCTCTATAATTTTCAAGATAATTGGTTACAATTATGAGATAAGACATGATTATGATAATTATTTGATTTCATAATTATGACTGTATTTCATAATTTTGACTTATCTCATCTATCTTCTCATTCTTCAGTTCAGTTAAAGTTTATATATACTGTCAGTGGTTCAAACAGGAAAAATGAACTGTTATGGACAACAACCCTTCTAGTTCTTTCAGTATTGGCAGTATTTGGTTGCGTAGTTTAAACCTCCGTAAGAAAACAAAGCACAGACACTCTTGGTGGACAAAGTTTATTGTAAAAGTGCATCTTATTAAACATTGATAAACAGTGTAAAACACACCTTTCTGTCAGCGACCTCCTCCACAGGTGAGTCTTTGGTGTCACTCAGGAAAAATATAACATTACTTTACACTGAAAACAGATATTCATCATCGTCGTATCAAACAGTCATATTTACAATACGTACAAATATTGTACACAAATCGCAGCTGTGAGTGTCTGAACGTGAAGAGGACAGTTTGTGTATTCATGGATTTCTGTGCAAAAGTACAAAGTGTTCGTCTGCAGCCTACAGATGTGTTTCTGTTGGAAAACATCCTGAGGACCCGATAACTCTCCGTTGAAGAGGCGTTCAGTAATGAACAGATCTATAATCAGATCAGTCTGTGAGACAGTAGTGCAGTTAGAGTGTGAACCGATCGGTGTTAGTGGAGATAAAACTGTTCACTGATGTCGTGACTGTCGGCGAGGACGTGATGTCACTTCCTCTATCCACGTGAAAACAGGAAATTACATCAAACAACAACCCAGAAACGCAACAAACGTCACATAAACAGATTTTTTAGCTGCTCAGTGTTTCATATCGTTGATATCGTTGATGTGTTGTCCTGTATAACACTGGTGGTATTTCTCTATGAGTAAGGACAGAGAGTGTTTGTAGGAAGATCTTTAACACTTTATATTAAAGTCCACCAGCTGCTTGTTAGCATTCATATTAGTGGTATATCGGCCTTTTATGAGTCATTATAAAGCTCTAATTAGCTCTTGCTCATTACTAATACCTAGAACTCTTTTATAAACATACATTATTATTATTACTTTTACTATTAACACTTTTGTTACATACGAATAGATGAGAATAAAAGAGGTTCAGAGATTCATTAGTTAGCTGTCTGGCTAACTCTTACAGTTGTAGGATAAAACATTAATTAGAGCTTTATAACGACCATAGTGACGGTGCGTTCACTGACACCGTTCTCCGTTAGGATATTTTACAGCTGTTCCTGCAGCTCTGAGCAGACGGGCAGACGGAGAGGAGCGTCCGTGCATCATGCGGGTGTTGAGGCCGTCGGCCACGGAGAACGTCTCGAGGTTGGACTTCAGAGTCAGTGGGAGCGGGACTTTATCCAGCAGGTGGACACGATAGAGCGACAGCAGAGGTCCTGGAGACTCAACACTGAGAGACAGACAGGGAGACAGACAGGGAGAGGGAGGGGGGGAGAGAGAGAGAGAGAGAGAGGGAGAGAGACAGGGAGAGGGAGAGGGAGGGAGACAGGGAGAGAGGGAGAGAGAGACAGGGAGAGGGAGGGAGACAGGGGGAGAGAGAGGGAGAGGGAGGGAGACAGGGAGAGGGAGAGAGAGACAGGGAGAGGGAGGGAGACAGGGAGAGGGAGAGAGAGAGAGGGAGAGGGAGGGAGACAGGGAAAGAGAGAGACAGGGAGAGGGAGGGAGAGAGAGAGAGGGAGAGGACAGGGAGGGAGAGGAGGGAGACAGGGAGAGAGAGAGAGAGAGACAGGGAGAGAGAGAGAGAGAGACAGGGAGAGAGAGAGAGAGAGAGACAGGGAGAGAGAGAGAGAGACAGGGAGAGAGAGAGACAGGGAGAGAGAGAGAGAGAGAGAGAGAGAGAGAGAGAGAGAGAGAGAGAGAGAGAGAGAGAGAGAGAGACAGGGAGAGAGAGAGAGAGAGAGAGAGAGAGAGAGAGACAGGGGAGAGAGAGAGAGAGAGAGAGACAGGGAGACGGAGAGGGAGGGGGAGAGAGAGAGAGACAGGGGGAGAGAGAGAGAGAGAGACAGAGAGAGACAGGGGAGAGAGAGAGAGAGAGAGAGAGAGAGACAGGGAGAGAGAGAGAGAGACAGAGAGAGACAGGGAGAGAGACAGGGAGAGAGACAGGGGAGAGAGAGAGACAGGGAGAGAGACAGGGGGAGAGAGAGAGAGAGAGAGAGAGAGACAGGGGAGAGAGAGAGAGAGAGAGAGAGAGAGAGACAGGGAGGGAGAGAGAGAGAGAGACAGGGAGACGGAGAGGGAGGGGGGAGACGGAGAGGGAGGGGGAGAGAGAGAGAGAGAGACGGAGAGAGAGAGAGAGAGACAGGGAGAGAGAGAGAGAGAGAGAGAGAGACAGGGAGACAGAGAGAGAGAGAGAGAGAGAGAGACAGACAGGGAGACAGACAGGGAGAGGGAGGGGGAGAGAGAGACAGGGAGAGAGAGAGAGAGACAGGGAGAGAGGGAGAGAGAGAGAGAGAGAGAGAGAGAGGGAGAGAGACAGGGAGAGGGAGGGAGACAGGGAGAGGGAGGGAGACAGGGAAAGAGAGGGAGAGAGAGAGACAGGGAGAGGGAGGGAGACAGGGGAAAGAGAGGGAGAGAGAGAGACAGGGAGAGGGAGGGGGAGAGGGAGAGAGAGACAGGGAGAGGGAGGGAGAGACAGGGAGAGGGAGGGAGACAGGGAAAGAGAGAGACAGGGAGAGAGACAGAGACAGGGAGAGAGAGAGAGACAGAGAAAGAGAGAGACAGTTCATCTTAAATAACTGAAATAGAAACACAGTGAGGAGGTGTGCTGTGTCTGATCGTCCAGCAGAGGGCAGCACATTACTTATATACGGTAAAACGAGTGGTTTTCTGAATGGAGTCTGGTGGGCCGACAGTCAGCGGGAAGTGAATTACATTTATAACCTTTTCAGGACTTTAAGTGGTAACAGAGTATTTAACCGTCGTACTGTACTCCGTTAAAGGACCTGAACGCGTCCTCCAGCGCCAGACGGACTCTGACTGACCTTTGTTGGGTCTCCACAGCCGCTCCAGGCCGTGTCTCATGAGTACGATGCGAGCGAGCTCCGTGAACGACTCGTGATGTTGAAGTTGCACAGCGGGCTGACCTCGAAGAACGAGTCCACAACACAGAGTCCACAACACAGAGTCCAACACAGAGTCCAACACAGAGTCCACAACACAGAGTCCAACACAGAGTCCACAACACAGAGTCCACAACACAGAGTCCAACACAGAGTCCACAACACAGAGTCCACAACACAGAGTCCACAACACAGAGTCCAACACATAGTCCACAACACAGAGTCCAACACAGAGTCCACAACACAGAGTCCAACACAGAGTCCACAACACAGAGTCCACAACACAGAGTCCACCACAGAGTCCAACACAGGGTCCACAACACAGAGTCCACAACACAGAGTCCAACACAGAGTCCAACACAGAGTCCACAACACAGAGTCCAACACAGAGTCCACAACACAGAGTCCAACACAGAGTCCACAACACAGAGTCCACAACACAGAGTCCACAACACAGAGTCCAACACAGAGTCCACCACAGAGTCCATAACACAGAGTCCAACACAGAGTCCACAACACAGAGTCCACAACACAGAGTCCACCACACAGAGTCCACAACACAGAGTCCAACACAGAGTCCACAACAGAGTCCACAACACAGAGTCCACAACACAGAGTCCACAACACAGAGTCCAACACAGAGTCCACCACAGAGTCCATAACACAGGAGTCCAACACAGAGTCCACAACACAGAGTCCACAACACAGAGTCCACCACACAGAGTCCACAACACAGAGTCCACAACACAGAGTCCAACACAGAGTCCAACACAGAGTCCACAACACAGAGTCCACCACACAGAGTCCAACACAGAGTCCACAACACAGAGTCCAACACAGAGTCCAACACAGAGTCCACAACACAGAGTCCAACACAGAGTCCAACACATAGTCCAACACAGAGTCCACAACACAGAGTCCACAACACAGAGTCCAACACAGAGTCCAACACAGAGTCCACAACACAGAGTCCACCACACAGAGTCCACAACACAGAGTCCTACACAGAGTCCACAACACAGAGTCCAACACAGAGTCCACAACACAGAGTCCACAACACAGAGTCCAACACAGAGTCCAACACAGAGTCCACCACAGAGTCCACAACACAGAGTCCAACACAGAGTCCACAACACAGAGTCCACAACACAGAGTCCACCACACAGAGTCCACAACACAGAGTCCACAACACAGAGTCCAACACAGAGTCCACCACACAGAGTCCAACACAGAGTCCATAACACAGAGTCCAACACAGAGTCCACAACACAGAGTCCACAACACAGAGTCCACCACACAGAGTCCACAACACAGAGTCCACAACACAGAGTCCAACACAGAGTCCAACACAGAGTCCACAACACAGAGTCCACCACACAGAGTCCAACACAGAGTCCAACACAGAGTCCAACACAGAGTCCACAACACAGAGTCCAACACAGAGTCCAACACAGAGTCCAACACAGAGTCCACAACACAGAGTCCACAACACAGAGTCCAACACAGAGTCCAACACAGAGTCCACAACACAGAGTCCACCACACAGAGTCCACAACACAGAGTCCAACACAGAGTCCACAACACAGAGTCCAACACAGAGTCCACAACACAGAGTCCACAACACAGAGTCCACAACACAGAGTCCACAACACAGAGTCCAACACAGAGTCCACCACAGAGTCCACAACACAGAGTCCAACACAGAGTCCACAACACAGAGTCCACCACACAGAGTCCACAACACAGAGTCCACAACACAGAGTCCAACACAGAGTCCACCACACAGAGTCCAACACAGAGTCCACAACACAGAGTCCAACACAGAGTCCACAACACAGAGTCCACCACACAGAGTCCAACACAGAGTCCACAACACAGAGTCCAACACAGAGTCCAACACAGAGTCCAACACAGAGTCCACAACACAGAGTCCACAACACAGAGTCCAACACAGAGTCCACCACACAGAGTCCAACACAGAGTCCACAACACAGAGTCCAACACAGAGTCCACAACACAGAGTCCACCACACAGAGTCCAACACAGAGTCCACAACACAGAGTCCAACACAGAGTCCAACACAGAGTCCACAACACAGAGTCCACAACACAGAGTCCAACACAGAGTCCACAACACAGAGTCCACAACACAGAGTCCAACACAGAGTCCACAACACAGAGTCCACAACACAGAGTCCAACACAGAGTCCAACACAGAGTCCACAACACAGAGTCCACAACACAGAGTCCACAACACAGAGTCCAACACAGAGTCCAACACAGAGTCCACAACACAGAGTCCAACACAGAGTCCACAACACAGAGTCCACAACACAGAGTCCAACACAGAGTCCACAACACAGAGTCCACAACACAGAGTCCACAACACAGAGTCCACAACACAGAGTCCAACACAGAGTCCACAACACAGAGTCCACAACACAGAGTCCACAACACAGAGTCCACAACACAGAGTCCAACACAGAGTCCAACACAGAGTCCACCACACAGAGTCCAACACAGAGTCCACAACACAGAGTCCAACACAGAGTCCACAACACAGAGTCCACCACACAGAGTCCAACACAGAGTCCACAACACAGAGTCCAACACAGAGTCCAACACAGAGTCCACAACACAGAGTCCACAACACAGAGTCCAACACAGAGTCCACAACACAGAGTCCAACACAGAGTCCACAACACAGAGTCCACAACACAGAGTCCAACACAGAGTCCACAACACAGAGTCCACAACACAGAGTCCAACACAGAGTCCACAACACAGAGTCCACAACACAGAGTCCACCACAGAGTCCAACACAGAGTCCACCACAGAGTCCACAACACAGAGTCCAACACAGAGTCCACCACACAGAGTCCAACACAGAGTCCACAACACAGAGTCCACAACACAGAGTCCAACACAGAGTCCACAACACAGAGCCCACCACACAGAGTCCAACACAGAGTCCACAACAGAGTCCACAACACAGAGTCCAACACAGAGTCCACAACACAGAGCCCAACACAGAGTCCACAACACAGAGTCCACAACACAGAGTCCAACACAGAGTCCACAACACAGAGTCCAACACAGAGTCCACAACACAGAGTCCAACACAGAGTCCAACACAGAGTCCACAACACAGAGTCCACAACACAGAGTCCAACACAGAGTCCAACACAGAGTCCACAACACAGAGTCCACCACACAGAGTCCAACACAGAGTCCACAACAGAGTCCACAACACAGAGTCCACAACACAGAGCCCAACACACAGAGTCCAACACAGAGTCCACAACAGAGTCCACAACACAGAGTCCAACACAGAGTCCACAACACAGAGTCCACAACACAGAGTCCAACACAGAGTCCAAAGTCAAAGCTAACATTAATGCTAAGCTAGTGGTTATATTAGTAACCAACAATTATCCCGATAATAAATATTTACCGTACGATATTGTTAAAGTTATTTTATCGTCTCAGAGGAGAAAAACATCTTTAACATTATTTTGTATTTTCAGATTAATGCAGTAAAAATATTAAAGCACCACAAACTTGTACTTAAGTATTGAGTACTCGGATACTTGTGATCCAGCTCCTTCGTGGTGCGTAAAGCCCCCACTAACACCCGGACTGCCCCCCTCTCGGTGGCTCCGTCCTTCAGGCTCGCGAGGATCTCCCCCTTCCCGACGTCACTGTCCCCCACGAGCAGGAACTTGAGCAGAAAGTCGTACGCACGCGCCGCGCTGCTTCATCCTCGCGCCAGATAACAGCTGCCGCGTCCCATCAGGAGATGAGGCTCGGACTGCCGTTGTTTAACATTTTATTTTAGTTTTCTTGTATTTGTAAATTTAAATTAATTATATAAAGCATTTGGAAGTTTCTATTTTCTTAATAAAGCTGGAATAACTTCTTCCTGTCACATATACAGTCTGCTGCCTCCTGGTGTCCAACAGTGACAGGATCCGAAGGGTTAAACAAACAGTAACTGACACTAAAGCAACAACAACAACAAACTCACTGTTGGATCAATAAACAAACAAATTAGCAATCGGGGCTCAAAACAAACGTTTATTTGCTTTATTGCTTTTCTCTTCGGGTTGTTTAATAATTTATTGATTCATCTTCAACTGGAACAATTATCTTTCTGTTCATCAGTTTAATTACACTTTCTCTCAAACAAACAAACAAACAAACAAACAAACAAACAAAAGTCTCTGAAATTTCTCCAACGTTGTCTTTTGTTTCTTTGCAGAAACCACAGAGTCCTTCCTGTGTGGAGCCCTTTCAGATTAAAAGTGTCTCTCAGTTCACAGAGAGTCTCTCAGTTGTAGCTGTATCCGGGCAGCGGCAGTTTCTGACCCTCTTTGGCCTCGAAGAAGGTGTAGGACAGAGTGATGGTGTCCACCCGGGCCATCCGCGGGTCCTCGTCGAACTCCGGGTCGATGTAGAAGAAGACGGGCATGTCCACCTCCTCGTGAGGGTTCAGACGCTGCTCCTCGAAGCAGAAACACTGCGGAGAGACGACACAGAGATCAGTTTATCATCGCGGTGGATCCGAGGAGAACCCGGCGCTCTTCACCGTGGACTACCTGGATCTTGTTGAAGTACTGCCCCGCCTCGAAGGGAACCACGTTGTAGGTGGAGATGCCGATGATCGGCTGATCTGTGGGGTTCTTCGCTCTGTAGAACGCCAGCGCCGTCTCACCTGGAACCACCTGCAGCGACAAACACACGTCAGCTAAAACCTGCAGGGACAGAAGAGTCCTGGTTCCGGGTCTGAATCCGGACCAGAACAGTTCTGGTGTGTTCACTGACCGACAGAATAATGTGCAACCAACGGATTCACGGAGGAAACAAACCGTAAAGTTTCACGACCGCAGTCCGCGTTATCCTCCGCAGTAACTACGACTGTAACTGATTACTAATAACTGTCAGTAATAATGTAATAGATTACATATTTTATGTTAATCTGATCGCCACAGAATCCTCCCGGGGCGCGGCGGCGTCGTAAAGCCCGGTGGGATTTCGGGGTCGTGCTATCGTCGGACGTTTAGGATTTCTCCGCTGATAATCGGAACCGGGTCTTACATTGATCTCCGTCTGCTGCGGTTTGAAGTTCCACTGCATGCTGGCGTGCCGGTCGGCGTTGAAGGTGACCTTGATGACGCGCTCCTTCACCGGCTTCATCGTCTCCACCTGATCGGTGTCGTGGCCGGCCACCGCCATGCCGCCGAGCCCCGACGCCTGGCAGTAGAGTCTGTAGAGCGGCACGGCGGCGTACGAGAGGCCGATCATCCCGACCCCGGCGGCGGCGATGTACGTCAGCACCGTCTTGTTCCTGGTCTTCCACTCCTCCTCCTGGCTCTGGGACTTCCTGTTTCTGCTCTTTATGCCTCGGCTCTGCGGGTGGAAGCGCGGCGGCGGGGGGAGCCGGCGCCGCAGGAAGTGCTCGGCCTGGGAGTCCAGCGTCCTCGCAGCGTCGCACCGCAGCGTCCTGACGCAGCGCGTTAGCAACACCTGAGGGCAGCAGAGGGACTGACGTACCAGGAAGTGGAGCAGCATGGCTGGTCAGTCCTCACCTGAAGGAAACTCACCTGGACGGAAGATAAAACACCAGTGAGGCCTGCAGCTAATCAATATCTTTATTTAACATTAGGAGCTTCTGTAGAGCAGCAAATTCCCACATTTGTCAAATATTTGTTATGTTAGCCTCTAAATAAATGAATTTAATGTCAATCAGCTGATCATCAGTTAAAAGGAGTAATCATTGCAGCTCTAATCTGAACAACATCCAACAGACACACAATGTTATTTAAGTGAGAGCACCAAACCAAACTCCATTCAAAAAAGATCCACTTTAACGCCACCTTGCTCACTAACATGTGACACAGCTCTTTTAAAACGGATATTTAGTTTTCCCGACTTGATTAAAGTCGCTCTTTAATTCGGTGTGTGACTGACTGTCTGAACACAAACTGTTTCTGTGTAAATCGACTTGGAAACATCGATTACCCTCTCAGTCAGACAGTGACAGCAGCCGGACTGACTTTTAAAAAGATATATTTTAATGGTATGTTAAGTTTTCTTTTTGGATCACGAGTGCCGAATTATCCAGCGAACCCTGCCGATTCTCAACATGTCTCCAGTCATACAACAGTCGGTATGTAAGTGCTCTAAAACACAGTTAAAGTCTTAATGTGCGGAGTTTTTAGTGGAGTTTCGCGCGCTATTTTAACCACAAAATAAAACAGAGGTGTTATCGGCGCTGACCGACATTAAAGCTGCACTGATGTTGACTGAACAAGTTAAATTGAACAACAGTCATCATGTAGAAACCTCTGACCTCCAGACATTCATAACCATCCAACAGACACATGAAGTTCTCTGAGTGAGCGCGCCACACCAAACTCCGTTCAAAAAAGCGACACTTTAACGCCACCCGGCTCAATAACATGTGACACAGCTGTTGTAAAACGGGTATTTAGTTTTCCCGACTGGATTAAAGTGACTCTTTAATTCGGCTCGAACACTCGCTCTGTAAACACCAGCAGTGTCACAGTGTCACAGTTTCACTGTTTCACAGTCATTATGTGGAAACTGTGTGCTAACGCTAGTCAGCTAACCGGAAGCTAGCACGCAAACAGAAACGTTATTACTTTATTTATTAATTAAAATCATCTTTAATCAGTTAATACCTTCAACAATCAGCTGCTGTCCTCCAGCGGCGGGCCGCAGCGACACATTATCAAACACAGTGAGCGGAAGACCTCGTAACACCGGTGCAACCCTGAATTAGCTCCGCTGTAAACCCAGCCATAAAGGTTCCGGTTGTGTGTTTTTTAATAAATCTTATTTAGAAGTTAAACTCAGATAAATCAGATATTAATGAGTTCACATAACTGAACTCTTTTAGAACACTCTTTACATTTAAGCTAATTAAACCTTTTGCTTTTGATAGATATAAAGAATTAGATATTTAGGTTTTATATGGACTATTTAAATTAATCTATTTCTGCCATGATTAATGTTTATGGGTCAATATTAAATCATATTTTATAGTGGAGCAATAACAAACCCTCTTTCTTCTGTTTTTTAAAAGACCTCTAATTATTTAAAACTGTATATCAGAAAAATATCACTAATGATTTATTTCACTCTTCTTCTTCTTCTGATTGACGGCTGCAGATTAACATTTAATGTCTTATATATATATATATATATATATATATAATCCTATATGTATTCTCTGTGAGTTCCTATACTTTATATAATACTTTGTAGATTTTATTTGTTTTGGTTCCAGTTTTATCCACTAAAACGTTATAAAATGTTGTAATTGAACTTTAAATAAATGATCCTGTCCATTCAGATTAATGAGAAAACCATGAATTTAATGCGTTTAGTAGATAATAACATCTCATTCTAAGGTAACAAACACACAATGAGTCTTATTATCACTAATGAAAACACACCTATATACATTGTTATATTATGTTATATTGTATTATATTATATTATATTATGTTATATTTATATTATATTATATTATATTATGTTATATTATATTAAATTGTATTATATTATATTATATTATGTTATATTATATTATGTAATATTATATTATATTGTATTATATTATATTTTATCATATTGTATTATATTATATTATATTATGTTATATTATATTATGTTATATTATATTATATTATGTTATATTATATTATATTATATTATGTTATATTATATTATGTTATTATGTTATGTTATATTATATTATGTTATATTATATTATATCATATTATATTATGTTATATTATATTATGTTATATTATATTATGTTATATTATATTATATTATATTATATTATGTTATATTATGTTATATTGTATTATATTATATTATATTATGTTATATTATATTATATTATATTATATTATGTAATATTATATTAAATTGTATTATATTATATTGTATTATATTATATTATGTTATATTATATTATATTATATTATATTATGTTATATTATGTTATATTATATTATATTATATTATGTTATGTTATGTTATGTTATGTTATGTTATATTATATTAGGGTTAGGGTTAGGGTATATTATATTATGTTATATTATATTATATTGTATTATATTATGTTATATAATATTATATTATGTTATGTTATATTATATTATATTATATTATGTAATATTATATTAAATTGTATTATATTATATTATGTAATATTATATTATATTGTATTATATTATATTTTATCATATTGTATTAGATTATATTATATTATGTTATATTATATTATGTTATATTATATTATATTATATTATATTATGTTATGTTATATTATATTATGTTATTATGTTATGTTATGTTATATTATATTATATCATATTATATTATGTTATATTATATTATATCATATTATATTATGTTATATTATATTATATTGTATTACATTATATTATATTGTATTATATTAATATTATATTATGTTATATTATATTATATTATATTATATTATATTGTATTATATTAATATTATATTATGTTATATTATATTATGTTATATTATATTATATTATGTAATGTTATGTTATATTATATTATATTATATTATATTGTATTATATTATGTTATATTATATTATGTTATATTATGTTATATTGTATTATGTTATATTGTATTATATTATGTTATATTATATTATATTATGTTATATTAATATTATATTATATTATATTGTATTATGTTATATTATATTATATTATGTTATATTATATTATATTATATTATGTTATATTATGTTATATTATATTATATTATATTATGTTATATTATATTATATTATATTATATTGTATTATATTATGTTATATTATATTATGTTATATTGTATTATATTATATTATGTTATATTGTATTATATTATGTTATATTATATTATATTATGTTATATTAATATTATATTATATTATATTGTATTATGTTATATTATATTATATTATGTTATATTATATTATATTATATTATGTTATATTATGTTATGTTATATTATATTATATTATATTATATTATATTATATTATATTATATTATATTATATTGTATTATGTTATATTATATTATATTATATTATATTATATTATATTATATTAATGTGACACACTGGAGCTTTAAATGGAAATATTTAAATATATATGTGCATCAATCAATCATGAACTGAATTATAAAAGCCAGGAGTGGTACTAATGCAGGAAATAATCATTATAAATAAAAAGAGAAATAATTTCCATCATTATAAGGACAACAAGCAACGCTACGGTGGTCGTGCGAGGTCAAACTCTCGCTCTCCGCGCTGGTTCCGAGGGGCTGCTGCAGTAGTAATGGAGGGGGTCACGGTCGGCCAGGTATTCGATGCGGAATGCATCCTCAGCAAACGGCCGAGGAAGGTAAGAAACCCCCGCTAACGTCTTCCTCCCGGGACTGTCCGTCCTCCTGCCCCGTCTGACTGTGTCTCTGTCCGCAGGGGAAGTTCGAGTACCTGGTGAAGTGGCGAGGCTGGTCGTCCAAGTAAGTAGCTAGCTGGTGGCTAACGGCTAA